TTCAACACCTCGTTTCCGTGGACACTGGTGCCATAACCCTTGATTCTCACACTCTCCTATGTCTCGCACGGATGCCCTCTTTACAACGACTCAAAACCCGACTGGAAAATAGTCCGAGTATTCTTTCCAACGACCGAGCCTTGCCAAACGCGACCGAAGTGCATTTTCCCAACCTACGAGAGCTATCCCTGGCCCATTCCAATAGTCTCGACACCATCTCTGAATTCACTCACGTCGTCGATTCTACTTCGCTCGTTTATGTCTCATTACGAGTGGAAGCAGGAAGGATACCATTGGCGACTATCAAGACCCTCTTGGCGAAGATTGCATCGTGGACCAGCCTTCGGACGGTTAAGATCACCGTTGCGGGTCTGCGAGACAATGCGGACATGATCACAGGAGATGTTCTGCCCCCCTTGTATACGCTTCGTATGCTCTCCTGCCTGGTCATCAACGCACGGGGATTGTTCGCATTCGACGACGGCGATGCACGCGTGATGGCGGGCTCGTGGCCATCCCTTACCCGTCTTGAACTGGGTCCCGGTATCGTTCGGCGGCAGCCCCCCACGCCCTCTGTCACACTCCCCGGGCTACTTTCCTTTGCACAGCACTGTCCTGACCTACGCTGCCTCGGGATCCCGCTCGACACCAACCTCGGTCTCATTGGTCCCGCATGGCGTCGGGACGTCCGCCCCAGCCTCGGGACACCGCAAAACAGACTACGCGAGCTGAAGGTAGGACACTCCGAAATCGAAGACCCGGTGGCCGTCGCGGCGTTAGCTCTACGTTCAGCGCGGACCAAGCGTACTTCGCCCGTCTCTACTCGTACGCGTTGCGTGTCAGAGTGTTCTCGAGTACTCTCAGCACACCTAAGCATCTGTGGCTATTGGAGTGGGTGCAAAGGGCCGGATCGTCATTATACCGAATACTCACGGATATCATGCAATCCCGCCCGCTCCTCCCCAATGTCCAAAAGATTGAATACAGTCGATACAAGATGGAACCCACCTGTCTTCACCTTCTAGTCGGTCCAAGTCTCTGTGACTTATTTGTGATTCTCAGCGACGATCCCACGCGCTCTCCGCGGGAGCCTGGCAGCGTAGACGAGGAGACAGCCCCAGAGAAATTCGACATGGAGGACACCCGCACAATCATGAAACTAAAGGAGACTTCTTCACGTTTGCAGAGATTGTGCTTGGACATCTGCCCCGCCGGCAAAGATCTTATGTCGGCTGTGGAAGCTACGCTCTCCGGACTGAAGCACTTGACCTCCGTGTTTTTTTCTCAACACATGGTTCTCTCCCCCGACGAAGTCTTTGCCCACCTGGCGCTTTCAGCCAGGCTCCAAAGCCTTGAATGCGGTCTAGACGACTCTCTCTGGAACAGTGATCTCTGGTCCCTCGTCTCTCGTCAACCACACACGGCTTTTCCCCGGGCGGTGCAAGAATTTTGGCTGACGACGCCTACGTTGCAGTTATCAACTGCCATTTTGGAGCTTGTTCGCTCACCCTGTCTTGCCACGGCGCGATATCTGCACACTGTTCTTCGTCATATCTGCTCCCCCATGTCAAGGCGCCTTGAGGGGTGTGATCGTCGAAATCCCCGAAGTGGGGATCGGCGACCTCGCTGCAGATGGGGATACCCCCCTCCCCGCAATCTCCCCCATTTGTGGGGAATCGCTTGCACCGCTTTTTGCGCTACGAGGACTTACATGGCTGAACTTGGACATCCACTGGCCGTTTGACGTCGATGATGCTTTGTTACTGCATATAGCACGAGCCCAGTGGCCTGGCCTGGAATATCTCAAGCTCGGTGTCTGCTCTCCCTGGGGCATGTCCTATTCCGATCTCCAGATCCAAGAGACTGCCGAGCTCGACGCTTCAAATCAAGACGACGAGGCTCATGGCACCGAAGAACCACGGATGCGTGCGTGGCGCCGGCCGCGCGCCACCCTCAATGGCATCGTGCGCTTCCTGCCGCAATGCCCGGCTATCCAGGACCTCGGTGTTGCATTTGACGCCAATGTGTCGGTACTCGCGCCCAGACGGCCCTTCAAAATGCGTGGCGCACCTAACCGCATTTTGCAGGTGCTACATGTAGGTCTATCACCAATCGGGGACCCCTTCACAGTCGCGGCGCTGCTCTCGAACGTCCTCATCTCTGTAGAAGACCTTGACAGCCGCTGGGCCCCATTGGAGACTGAAGAGTACTACCACGTTGTGGAGCCTGAGTCGACCTGGTCCCGCGCCCGAATCTACCGTACCCGGTGGGAGAGGGTCCAGGAACTGGTCCCGATGTTTTCGTCTGTGCGCGTTCAGGAGCAGAAGTGGAACGATAGGTTGGTGGACGAAGCCTAAAGCTCCGAGGTTGTACTTCACAACGGGACGCGCGTCGTTTCAGAGTTATCGGTTTCTAACGACCTTACGACGAGTCTAGTTGCTGGCAACCACGAGCGAGCCCTGCGAGGTCTGTCAACGAACCGAACTCAAAAAAATGCACATATGTGGGGGTTGCGCGCGACGCGTGTAGCAAGTTATCTGGCTGCCTTTCTGAACTGGCCTGTGTTTGGCGATGGTAAGGCCTCGCGACGAAGTCTCTCGGGCGCTGATTTTGAACTGCCACCGCCGTATGGTGACCATCAAGTTCCCTAGACTTGACCAATGAACAACAACCTCCTACCTCATCTGGCGCAGACCATGGATGCCTTCGTCAAAACACCCGCTCCCAAAGGCGGGTACAATCAGGCTAAGGAGCTTAGCTTCTCGATACAGCACCGGCTTCCGCCGCGTTCGCGCCGCACGTTGGGACTGGTGTTCACCAAGTTCTACCGCGCGCCAGGCCGTCTCGCCCAGAATTTCCTCTAGTTCCAAAGCGGCATCCCAGTAACCATTTGTTTCAACCACTACCGGTGCCGGCACGCATGACCTTGCAAGCCCGCCTTGGATATTTGAGCAGCGCGGTGAAGCATTGAATCGAGATCACCCGCCGCAACTTTCACCAGCTATGTATCGACCATCATCTTGCCGAGGTGCAGATGTTGGCGTTGCGGAAAGTGGAGATGGGCCTTCCGTTCGGGTGGTATATATCGGACTCGGCTACTACGGTAATTGAGCTACTATCGGGGGAGGACACACCACCGTGGTCAAGCTGATGTGCGCAAAAGTGAGTGTCAATCGATTCCTCAGGCTCCGATCGAGGATCGTTCACCATGTATGCTCTGTGCATCTTATAGCATACGTATAATGTGCGCCTGGGACCTGACCATCTTAACATGCCTCATTCACGTCTCACTCTCCCAACAAGGCGATAGGAACCCGACTGTAGTACAGTCGAAACCCTCTTAACCCATACCTCGGCTAAGGGCTTGTTTCTCTCCTCCCCCTCCCCCCAAAACCCCGAGGCCCTTCGGATGCTTCGGGGTACGTGCGGCGAGTCGTAGCGCATCTGGGGGTGTAACGTATAGCACAAACTGTGCGGAATTTCAGATTCGCGGGCCTTGCCGAAAAGTATGGGTTAAGAGGGTTTCGACTGTAAGACTTTCCCCGGCGAAGCGTTAGCGGGGAAACTCCCCCGTGAGCTCATGTACCGTGCTGCGCCGCGGTCGTACGCCTCGAGGACTCGCATGTCCGTCATGTGCGCTGGTGTGTACGTACGAAATTCGAGCGCACGTTGCTCTTCCGGGGAGGTCTGTTGCTATTAATGCTACGGCTTCGCGACCCCTCGACACCTCGCCGCACGCACGCGGACTAGGCCTGGGCAAGACTTTTAGCACAGTCCCATCGACACAGCGATTAGCTGCTTGTTACCCGTCGTCAGGATCTATCGAAGCTATTAGCGGACCCCTCGGGCGAAAAGAGCTCAAACCCTTAGCCACGCCTTTCGGCATTCATATAGTTCCGAGAAGGCACGTTCGCGCTTAACCCGTTGCGTCGGGGGGGTGCTTGTGATGCGTGGCGTAACAGCACACTGACTTCACCAGATACACAGTGACTCCGCATACTATTACAAGACAACGACGATAAGCATGCCATCGAAGTACCTTCCGCGCTGTTGGCGTCATGACGGCCACTCCAACGCATTCCTGGGTATTGACGGCGCAGTCGAAGCAATTTAACAGCACATCTCGCATGGGCAGCCTGAGGAACCGTAGGTGAGGATTCAATTCAGCGCACCGTAACGAAGATAGTAAACGTACAGACGATGTCAGCGACACATTCGCAGCAGTCCTGTTCATTGGAGGTTGAGCGGTGAGAACGCCGTATGCGCGTAATGGACTCACTTTGCAGCATTCTGTGCGAGCGCCGCGAACATCAGCCGAGGAGCGCGAGCGAGCGGCATGTAAGAAGACGTACCGAAGCAGAGGAAGCATTCAATCAGGCCGAGGAAGCAGTCCTGCGAGTACCGCTCAGGAGATGGCAACGAACACGAAGAAATGGGTAGCTTACCCTCCCGGCGCCTCCGCCGCGCAGACGAGCGGCAAGGCCGCGCTTATGCTGACATTCCTCCCCTTGGGTGCTCTGGCGTTCGGGCGGGTTCATAGCGTCTGGGTAAGCCGTCAACGTCGTTAACATCCGCCGACTGGAACTGGCTGAAGCTGTCGTCGTGACTGGAGACTCACTCATCTGGACAGCCTGGGGCTGAGCCGAGGTGGTCATCGCGAGCTTAGGGGCTTCCATTTCGTACGAGGAGAGATGGGTGAGCGGCGGGGGCGTAGTCACGGCAGGGGAAAAGGGGGGCGAGACGGAGGAGTGGATGCTGGGGAGGTATTTATACCGCACCTGGAGCCTGGAGGGGCGTGCCCACTGCCACGGCGTGGGCCTGCGCCGGCCATGTCCAGCGATCCGGACAGCGGCCGTTTGGATCAATTGGCGTTCCAGTCTGAGGTCATAGCGTTACCGTAGAATACGGCGGATGCTATAAATACTTTCGGCTTCTCCTCAGGCATTGCGACACTAGAAAGTAGACCGTACTTTGATAGGCTTAGTGTCTCAAACCTTCGAGGCGATATGGCCGAGCGGTCTAAGGCGCTAGAATCAGGACATTGTCCAATCTAGTCCGAAAGGGCGTGGGTTCGAATCCCACTGTCGTCAGCCTTTTGTTTTCTGCTGTGCCCGTCTCGTATACCTTTGTTTTCGAGACACCATGACGTACCATCCATTTTTCATGGGCCGCAAACACGGTCCAGGGCTGCTCATAGTTTTCTTGATACGTAACTGTACTACTGGGCTGAGTTGTCGCCTACCGCCGAATATGGTATACTTTTAGCCATTTTTAGCAACCACTGAGGGCCCGACCATGCCATCTCTCGCTTCACCACAGTCTTGCTTGCACTCCTACCAGTACATTTGCCCTTGAATCCATCCATAATTCACGTGCTATTTATGATGAACGTTATGAATCCTTTACATGAGCGATGCAGGAGAGCTGAAATAGGACGCTACTCTATGAGACGCGTCGCGACACGACCCTCGTGACTGACGCGTCAACAAAAGCGCGTCAACAAAAACAAATAACTCATTAGGCGCGAGGGCGCTTGTGTGTACGTCAAGCCACGGCCGTCGTCTTCGTCTCACCCACTCCCCATCTTCCCCTGTCGTCGCCGTCGACAGCCTGCAGTTCATCCCGCAGGTTACGCTTGATTCTACGCTCAAAACTCGACGAGGGACGGCGATGAGTCTTCCTACACCCCCTGGCACCTCCCACAGAGACGAGAAGGAGAATCGGGCACCTCGCTTTTCACGCGTCTCCTGGTGCGAAACTACAGAGTATCATGCTATCACTGCCAGTCCACCCCGCACCCTATCTGCTCGGGATAGTGCCTCTAGGCCCGGTCCGTCGAGATCAATCCTCAAGAAATCGGTCTCGCCTACTACACCTCTCGTGGACGCAAACACCAAGGAGAGCACGCCGGAGCCCTCAGACCCCCTTGCCGACTTGCACTATCTGGAAGGTCCAATAGCGCGTATACTCGCGTCAGACGCATCATTACGCGACCTCATCGAGGCTTACTCAATCCTGACCGCGCGTCTCAGAGCATGCATTTCTGACAACACGGACGCGGACGCGTCTTGGCCATTGTTTCAACCTCTGAGGAAACAACGCGATATTTTCGTAGAGGCGCTTGTGCGTGACCTTCGCCAAGTCTTCAACGATCCCCTCGAAGGCGATCCGTCCTCAACAGACCTTTTTGATTCGCCGCGCGCCGAGCCCAGTTCCCTCCCATCACCACTACAAAGCCCCAAGAAGAAAAGAGGCATGTCTGAGGAGCAAGTCAAGCGTGCTCGCGATTTGTGCGGTGTATGCCACGCTGCTATGAGATTGCTTAGTCTTGTCTTCGCATTACCGGCACTATATCAACTGTTCACCGGTAAGCATCGGTGCTTTACCTTTGAATATGCCCTCTCTTATGACTATTGGGTCTGGGAACTTGTTTCAGAGGATGAGCTAGGGTACATTCTTACCCAAGTGCTCGCCATCCCCCTCGCGAAAGAACTTCCCACGCCAAACGCCCGCAAAACATGTGCTTTGGCAATCTGGATTATCCAAGCTCAACGTCTTCCTCCAGAGGTGCTTGAGCCGGCGAGGGACCGAATCGCCTATGCTCTCCGCCGTGGCATTGATGGTCAATTGGGCAAAGAAGGCAAGAAAGGCTCCACTAGCGACGGTCTTAAGGTATGTGGAATCTCCACGAGACGCATATATGCGCTTATTTTCTGGTATGCAGGCTGTCCACGATCTTTCTCTATATCAACCTGCCATTTTCGTGCCCGCCTTCGCCCCCATCTTGCCTGCTATCATGTCCAACTTACTTGGGCCGACGCTTGCCCTACGTAATCAGGCTTGCCATGCGCTGGGAGGACTTGCGCTAGCCGTGGCGTCACTTCCGCCAAGTGAAGCGCATACTCGCATTGCAACGACTGTAGCCGCACGCTTGGTGAAACACGTGAACACTACTGGACCACTCTCACCCGCCAAGAAGGCAGCTCTCAACAGCCCATCAAATGATCCACCCCTCGTCCGCACAATCCGCACGACGCTTCAAACTACGGACCCCAGCCACGCTGCCCAAGGTCCAGTGTGGGCATTCAGTGTCATGGCGCACCTGATCGTCTTGCTCGGACCCACGATATATCTCCATAACGAGCTCCTGCGAACCATGGCAAATCTCTTCTCGCTTGGAATGCGGCATCAGAAGAGCTCAATACGCGGTATGGGCTGTCTCGCCTGGCGAGCGATGACCTGGGCATACTTCCGTCCTCCCCATGTCAGGTTGACGATTGCAGCCGATACGGACGATGAAGGTGCGGAGTCTGCCACGGAGGATGATCTCCTAGAAGAACGCAAGAAGCACGAAGACGCGTTGCGCGCAGGCTTCAAGTGTCTCGCTTCCATCGTCGATTTGGGCGCTGGTATTAGTACCATTGGCGCGCTCCTCGGGCAGGAACTGGCCGACGATACATTCGTCCGGGGCGCGATGCGGGTTTTGCGTACCATGAGTAAGAAGGGCGGACTAACGTGTAAGGAGGCAATGGACGTCGCTCTGCACCTCCTCAGCTGTGCAACCTCTCCGGACCAGCATCTTATTGCGGAATGGGAACCCAGAAAGCTACTTGCGCCGGGACTCTTTTCGGCAAATCCAGGGTTGCTGACGTTGGACTGGAAACTACTCAGCGCGCCGGTCAAGGGCGTGTTAGAGCAGTGCCCTCAGATCTCGGATATTCGACCGCTCAGCTTGGACGAAATCGTGGCAGACGGTATGTGGGACGCGTTTCTAGCCGTGTGGAAGGACGGCCTGTCAGTCTTGAGGCTGCAATGGGGTAGCGAGGAGGTTCCGGTATGTGAAACACCCTTATTTTTTTTACATCTTTGCTTATAACGCCTCCCAGAGCGAAGTCCGGGAGATTTGGTTCAACCTCCTCAAAAGCTACGCTGCACCACTCCTCGGTACGCCTTCATTCGAGCTGCAGTTTCTCTCGCCTTACACCTGTGCAGATTCCGAAGACCATGACGGGTTGGTAGAACTCTCTGTGAGGGCCCGAGAAGTTCTCATCGATATCCTGGACGACGAGAACCTCGACTTCACTATGTGCAAGGAGGACGTTGGCGAGGAGATGCCGACATCACCGGTCAAGGCGCATCGCACCAAGAACAGGACCTCCAGCGCACCTCTCCCCCAATCGCGTTGGAACTTCGCCGTTAAGCTCTTCCTCGCGCGCGATCTGCTCACGATCACCCGCGCGGTATTCCCGGAGGACGTGTTTGCCGGTCTGGCCGAATCCGTGCTCAAACACCTGAACACCAACGAAGTGACACTGCTGGGTGACTTGCAATGCTCTGACGAGGTTCGCGAACAGTGGGCATCGCTCAGTGCTGAGGCATCACTCGCATGCGATATTAGTGTCTTGCAAGCCTTCTGGACGAATACCCTCGGCAAGCCTAGCTCCGGATATCGCGAGACCGAATGGGGTGCCGACGTCCGTTCGGTTGTGTGGCAGACTTTCCTCGACCGATGGCAAGACAGCAAGAAACACTGGGAGGCTGCGATTGTTCTCCTTAGCGTACCCTTTGTGCAGGCCAGTGGCTGGGAGCTTTCAAGCGAGGACCTTGCCGCCTGGGACGAGTTCCTCAAACGCGCTATCGATGCTGCACTTGATTGTGGAATCGACGCACCCGCCCTCATCGACCATATCGCGGGAGCTGTTGCGGCTGGGATGGCACCTGGGGCGACATCGTCGGTGCGTGTCGCTGACCTACTGCTGTCGAACTTCGAGATCGCCGAGGCGCGCGAAGCGCCGTCCGAGCTACTTGAGCTTGTCAACGACAGCCTCAACACAGCTTACCCGCCCGTACCGCAGCACAAGGTCATGTGCATGTGGCTCATCCGCTCAATCATGCGTGCTCTCGACGCCTGCCCGGCCGAACTGTGTTTCTCGGTGCTCCATTCGCTAGCGGAAGGCTTGTCAACTTGGCTCGCGGATGACTACGATATTTGCACTGCGGATGAATACTCGTCAGACGTAAGTTGTTGGTGTTGTGACCCCGTGGTACTGAGCTGACCTTTTGTAACAGATCCTCCCGCTCTACCAAACGATCCTGTTAAACATCCAGACCCTTGAGAGGAGTATATACTTCCTAGAGGCCTTTGGGCCCATGTTGGAAGCCCCCTTCTTAGGCCGACAAGACAAGCATGTTGGCGTTGTGGATGCGTTTGCAGACTTCTGGCAAGACACGTATGCAACGATGGCAGAGCCTGAGTCTGGCTGGCCTGAGCAGATCATCCGCTGTCTTGAGGCGGTTGCGCGTGAACGAGAGGACGAAGCCAGCGTGGAGAATCTCACTGCTCTCCTAGATGATCGCTCAAGTCCTTGTGGCCGGGAGACGGTTACGGTCTTCAAAGAGGAGGCTAAATGCAACAGCGAGGCAGGCGACAGTGACGAAGGTTCTATCGAACTCCCCTCGCCCGCCACGCTTTCCCGCGCCTCCGCGCTATTGCTCCGACCAGTTGCATTTTCCCGGGAAACCTTGCCAGAGTTCTCAGCGGTGGCGGTCGTCCCCTCCACTCCGAAGTCGAGTTCACCGAAGGATGTGTTCAGCACCCCGTCGCGCCCGCACAACTCGAGTTGCAAGGCCGCTACTGTGGTATCATTTGGCGCCGCGTCTCCTGCTTCACCGGTGATGGATTCATCCCCAGTCCGCGCACCGACGACACCGAAACGTTCCTCCGCGAAAACTGAGACCGACACTGGTTCAACGCGCTCCCAAAGCGACAGGGACAAGGAGAATGCGTCGCCCCTACCTCGTGTTGCTACCGTTGCCGAACGTCTTGCAGCGCGCTCGCCCTTACTTCTCGAGTCCATCCTGGGCAAGCGTTCTCGGCTGGACGATTCTGAGGACTCGGACGTGCCCGGGAAGGTGTACAAGAAGAGCAGGCTCGAGACTTCCCCACTCGCACCTTCTATCGCGTTCTCCAACGTCATTCAGGTCAACATGGCGAGGCACGATAACCCCGCCGCTATCAAGGATACCCCCTTCTCGCCAGCCGTGCATGCGAAGACCTCAGTAGATGCTACTACGGAAGCTGACCACGCCT